TATGGCCCTTGAGGCCCTTCAAAAGTTGATTTTCGTAAATTCCAAGCAGAGACCTTTCATTTGATATACAACAACCTTTAGTTGGCATAATATTCACTATATGGCCCTTGATGCCCTTCAAAAATTGATTTTCGTAAATTTCAAGCAGAGACCTTTCATTTGATATACAACAACCTATAGTTGGCATAATATTCACTATATGGCCCTTGAGGCCCTTCAAAAATTGATTTTCGTAAATTTCAAGCAGAGACCTTTCATTTGATATACAACAACCTATAGTTGGCATAATATTCACTACTTGGCCCTTGAGGCCCTTCAAAAGTTGATTTTCGTAAATTCCAAGCAGAGACCTTTCATTTGATATACAACAACCTATAGTTGGCATAATATTCACTATATGGCCCTTGAGGCCCTTCAAAAGTTGATTTTCGTAAATTCCAAGCAGAGACCTTTCATTTGATATACAACAACCTATAGTTGGCATAATATTCACTATATGGCCCTTGATGCCCTTCAAAAATTGATTATCGTAAATTTCAAGCAGAGACCTTTCATTTGATATACAACAACCTATAGTTGGCATAATATTCACTATATGGCCCTTGAGGCCCTTCAAAAATTGATTTTCGTAAATTTCGAGCAGAGACCTTTCATTTGATATACAACAACCTATAGTTGGCATAATATTCACTACTTGGCCCTTGAGGCCCTTCTTATGGCGATTAACATGGGAAAAGTGGTCGAAATGGGGCCGTTCTCTTGTAGCTTCTTTACTAATAATAATACACCACTGTATTTTTTCCAAATAAATATTATTTTTGTAATTATTCTCTATCTTCTCATAAAAAGGGTCTCTTGTCTTTTTTTCGTCCGGCGAACGGTTTTTTAGTTAGAAAATAAAATGCATTCATTTGCTTATCCCTATTCGATTTTTACTCTTAGTCATAATTTCACAATTGTGGTAACCAAAAGATCTAAGCAATATTTTTATAATTTTATGATAACTATTTTCAAGTATTTGTAATGAAGAAAAAAGCCAGAGCGGTTTCAGAGATATTGGGGAATAACTGATTCTTTTGTTAAATTTCAACATCCTGTATCTCAGAAACGAAGCTGTTACGGACCTATGTTCACATGAAGAATTTTTCTTAAAATCATCCAAGGATTATCGCCCTTTAGGATCAGCATTCAATTATGAAACATCCTGTATAAAAAAATTTGTTCTGAATCAGATAGAGTATTTTCCTTTTTTGGTTTATACATATGTATATCATTAGTATAACTACTCAGCAAACACAGTTACATCACAGATATCGATATTTTCAACTTTTAAAAAATTGTATGCCATGAATTTCTTAGTGAGAATGTAAAATACATTTCACCGATAGGCAATACCTAATTAACCTTATTTATTTTCCACACTTACGCATTGGATAAAAGTAAAGCTATTTTTCTCTGATTTGGCTTTCATTTGCAGGTCTTACCCACAACACTATATTCTATCACCATATGAATTATTACTAACAGTGCTTGAAGTCATCACTTGTCAACTGCCAGATGTACCTGTCTGATTTTTGAATTACAATGATTGTTTTTGTATACTATCCTTAAAAAACGCCATTCTTTAGGTAAATAAGACGTCGAAGATGACGAAAAATAATCTTCAAGATGACGTCCACATTACGTCGAATAAAGGTGAACCGTTCGTCGAATTGACGTGGACTATAATGGTCGAATTGACGTCTTCTGATCGACGAATTGACGTCACTCGAATGACCCAATTGATGTCGAAATATCACGTCAAAATAACGATTCAAAATGACTTCTTTGGGCTGAGACATAATCACGTCATCCTACCGTCATTATGACGTCATTCATTAGGTCGAATAAACGCAATGAACTCAACTCAACTCATTTATATTGAGTTCATTGAATAAACGTCCAGGGTGACGAAAAATGTACGTCAATATGACGTCAGTATGCTGGGAATATTTGAAGGACATCAATTTATTTAGAACAATAATTGTTATGACCAGAATCAAACGAAACTTTATGATTGAAAATGTTTTGTTACTAAACTATTGTTGTAGTTTTGAATCATTTATAGATTTTACTCATAGATTTCTCGGTCCTACCAACAATATATTTTTTTCAAAAACAAAGCGAGATGTGTCAAAAATTCAAGTGATGAAAAAGTTCACTCCTGATTTCAGAACTTGAAAAAATAATAAAACTTCCAAAAAAGCATTGGCGCGCACTTTTTTCAAGGACATATGAACTGCAACTTCCCCTGTGACGTCACCGGACTATCCAATTATAATTTAATTCATACTCAAAGATGTGTTCAACTCTACCAAGTATCAGAAAATTTGCAATTTGGATTTTCTAGACCTTGGAAATAAAATATTTAGGTATTTTTTTAAACTTGCAAGACAATCTACCGTCTATTGTAGCAAGCGTTTCCGGAACTACTTATCTGTTTATTGGATTTATTTTTCTCGTCTCAGTGGTCTGAATGTCTCAGATTGAGACGCAATAAAACGACAATTCCTTGAGAAATTCAGAAATGAGTTAGTTAGTGGAAAAATATCATTCAAAGAAAATTAGTAAGTAAATTCATTTCAGATGTTTCTTCTCTGATGAATATTTGCATGAATCAACTCTCGAATATAAATACAACTAGGAAAATTAAATTCTGATATACAGGGTGGTCCGTTTTTTAATACGGAAAATTTAACAGCTAATAGAACTCGTTGAAATATTAAAAAAACTTCCTATGAACATATACTTTTAAACGCTTCGTTTTTGAGAATATTGGGTGTCACAAATACGCTTCTGAATATATTTTTTTAATCAAAAGTTAGAAACGGTAGATAAATTAACGAAATTTTTCACAAATACTAAACTTTTTGAGCTTTATTAGATTAAATGAAAATTATTCAGAAAAACTATTCAGTGGCGGCTGAATCTGGGGTGGCGAAGGTAATAATTACACAAAGCTTTCAATCAAATGAAATTAAACCCAATACAAATTTCTAGTGCAGTTAATTCTATGATAAGACGTTGCAGAAAATGCATAGAGGTTGGCGGACAGCAATTTGAGCAATTCCTCTAATGGATTCTTTTGTTTTCTATTGATATTTACCTAATTTTATTCTTTAAAAGTTTGATTGTTGAACCATAATTTTTTCCTTCGCCACCCCAGATTCAGCCGCCACTGAATATTTTTCATGAATAATTTTTATTTAATCTAATAAAGCTCAAAAAGTTTAGTATCTGTGAAAAATTTCGTTAATTTATCTTGAACCGTTTCTAACTTTTGATTAAAAAACTCTATTTATTCTGAAGCGTATTTTTGACACCTTATATCTCAAAACTAACTAGTAAAAATGTACTATCTCGGTAACATTGAAGACAAATAGCAGGATATCCACTGCGGTCTATGGCTTGTTGTGGCTCTTCTAATACGTAAATGATTGATTTGCAATGGTTACATGATTGGTTCGGTAAACGGCCAATGCTAACTAGATTAAATGCATTACAATGTTTCTTTCATTGGGTTTAGAGACATGCATAGGTTTGGTTTTTATTTTTCCTTCTGAAACGAAGCTATTGGATAAGAAATCTAAGAGGGCAAAAAAAATGTATTTGAAATGCACGCCCCTGAAAATATGTAACTAATCATTCATAAACTGTAATAGGTCTAAAAGTTAGCTCATTGATATTTCCACAATAGATGTGAATTTCATCACAATCGGTTAACGCATTTCTGAGAAATCAATAAATAATCGATTTTTTAAAGAAACTTGAACACCCTATATCTCGAAAACGAAGCGTTTAAAAGTATATGTACATAGGAAGTTTATTTATTATTTCAACGAGTACTATACGCTGTTAAATTTTCCGTATTAAAAAACGGACCACCCTGTATAAAAATACAAATTATTCTATGCAGACAAAAAAAAAACATTCAGATTACAACTTTTCTAGCTTTTTTGCGACGTCATCTATGACATTTATTTCCTCCATTACTTCTTTTGCAATAGAAATAACAGAATAAAATTTCAAATTCTCTTGAGATATATATCTGTTCCGATGATAATGTTTTATACGTCTCAGTACCTACATAGAATGATATTCCTCCACTTGCGTTGCAAATGGAGAGTTGAAGATAAGCCGTCTATAATGAATCTGTACAAGTGTATACATGTATATCTTCTGGATTGGTTCAACTTCAGCCTCATTGATTTAAGTTTTTTCTATTTTTGATTTAAATTGCAACAAAAAGGATGACATAAATTGCCGTAATCCTGCATTAACTTTTTCTTTTCTTTGAATTCCAAATAATGAATCAAAATGTCTGATGGTCACCAAACTTTATTTTTCTAAAAAAAAATCATGTGTTTTGCTAGATTATTATAAATATAATTTTTTTGCAGAAAATGCTTAGCACAAAAATCGATAATAGCTAGGTTCAATGAAGAGCCTTAAATTAGCCTTAAATTATGGTGTACTCGATATTCTTATATTCCTTCTATTTGAAATTTGGTTCTGCTAGCTTAACGGTTCAGCTAGCAAAACCCATGATTAAAAAAAAAACAATGTGCAAAGAAATAGGCAATAAGCTAAGATTAGAGCCTTAAATTAACCTCAATATGGTATGATCAGTTTCGTGAATGAATTTTTTTGATTTGCTATTGGTTTATCATGTTCATGTTGGATTTGGTATTTTTTTGCAGAAAATGATCAACAAAAAAATCATCATCATCAATTTTACAGGGTGAACTATAGAGACCATATCTCATATCTAACTCATATCTCATTCATAGCTTATGGTATTATCAAGTCTAAATCCGGCCCTGCCATTCACAGCAAGTTTTCATACAAGGTGGCAGTAAAAAAGATACATATTTCAGCACATATCCATCTTTTTTTGTTTTAAATCATTTTCTTCCTAATTTTGATGATGATTTTGATTATGATTAAGATTTTTCACTCACCAATTTCTTAACTACTACCTCCAGCATTTCTTTATGAATGTCTTCTATAAATTTATATAAGTTATCTTTAATTTTTGTGAAACAAATTCTGCAAATATTTTCCTTACTATTGCCCATGATCCCATAAACTAAAATCTAGAAAAACGACAAACACAATCAACAATAGGGTGGAAAACAACACAATAAATTCAATATAATCAAAACAGAGTGGCAAGCAGAGAGTGCAACAAGTAGTGATCAACAGGCAACAGGTAGGTACGTACGGTATAGTTCAGTGGTAGGTACTAGGTAGGGTAGATAAACAAACGGTAAGAATTCAAACAACCATGGCTTTCGGTATGAATGCAAGGGATATATTTCGAATTCAGCTGCGTTCACAACCAAACTTTTTACGTTTTGCTTTTTACGTTTCGTATTTTGATTGGTGGAAAATCTGTAATTGAAATGACGTAAAAAGAAAAAGCTGAAAATATTGGGAGCATCCCACGATGCCCAATTCCCACGATGCCCAATTCCCACGTTGCCAGGTCAACAAAAAAATTCTGAAAACAAAATATTCAGCTTTTTGCGTTGCACGAAGAAATCGTCTGTGAAAATAGTAGAAATAGACAAATGATATTATGAAAATGGAAAATAATAGAACAATACATGTATGGAACAATCTATATGGAAGTTATTATAATGTTTTTGCTCTTAATTTTATCGTGAATCCATTGAATATAGTAGATAGGTATTCTGTTCAATTAATTATTTCATTCATGAGGATTGTTTTTTCTCTTCAAGTGTTGAATAAGGAGCAATTTACTTTACCGCCAGTTCTATGAGTATTATTAATTATCTAATCAATATTATTGTTATTATTATTTCACTTCATTTCAGGATGAAACACAAATGACGAAACCATGACAACGTAAAAAGTCACGTAGATTTTTGGTTGTTGTTTGCATAAGTTAAATTCGCGTTTAATTTCAGATTCTGCTTCACCAATCAGAATATGAAACGTAACAATTTTTGGCTGTGAACGCCGCTTTCTACTGGTCAGTACTGTCAATAAATTGACTGACTCCGCTGAAAATCAGTGTTCCGAAAAATAAAAACAAAAACACAGTGCTGTAATTCGAAACATGTTTTCATGGTTGTCATCAGTAATCAGCAGCAGTTGATCAGCTGGTGAACTTTGTCAGGTTGTTACTTATCACTTATGTATATAGTTTATTATTTTCTCGTTAATCTGAACCACTTATTATCTCTGTCTGAACTAGATGATAAGGTATGTTCGTTTTTACACCACATTTTCATCATTGATGGAAGTGACGTCATTCTCTGATGCACCGAATTGTTGGAGTCATCAGTTGCAAAAAAACGCAGTTATTTGAAATGACAATCACAATTGTTTTTTTCATTATTCATTTTTATTTTCGTAATTTGATGGTGATTTAAGTTTTCAATTAGAAGCTCAAAGCTGATGGAAAATCAGGTATTAAGTGTTATTGGAGTCCGTCTTCAGATCCAGAAGTTCTAGCAGTTCTTCTGATAGTTCCGAGGAAGAAATATTGTTTATGTTGGGGAGTAGACGAGGTAGGTTGAGAATTCTCAACAACCTATATACAAAATATTGCATTAAATTATGATGATATGGATAGTCATTATTGAGAATTCTCTGTTGGTTCTCAAGTTTCTTGAATGATTGCATTAATTTCTTGAAATTCATGATGGGAAACCATCGAAATTTCTGTTGGTGTCAATAATACAGTTATTCGTTTATTTTCGTCTGTTCTATTCTAGACTGATTTCGATTAATTCATCGATATGTTTTCTGAAGAAAATGGCAAACAGCTTTCAAATCCAATATTTAGTTTTTTGAGGTTATGCTATCGCTGTCATTCGGAAGCCACCAAAATTCGTCCACCACATCGGTGGAATGGTTTGCAATTCTGGTTGACACAAAGGCTGTCAAGTCATTCACTCGACCACAGTGGTAATGCCAGGATGGCCAATGGTTTACTCGAGCACCATCAAAAGTTAACGCATTAACTTTGTGGGCAGGTTTGAAACGTGACCGACATTCCCAAACAGCTGGTTGGTCAAACCGATGGTCAGACTTCATACTGAACGTATGTGCCCGGTCAAACCACAGACTTGACACAGCCATAAATGAACGCGTGGTTACGTCAAACTGGAATCCACCAAAGAATATATGAACACAGGGTGGTTTGATGGAGCCACCGGTGAATAAAAGAACGTCCGTAATCAATTCAAAGTCAAGTTAGAATCAATCTTCTCTTTATTGGTGGTACCAGGTATATATATATAAATCATAGGAACGTACCCTAAACCTAAACAACCTAATATCATGAATACACCGTGCGTCTTGATAACAACAGTGTTAACAACCCACACGGTGCGTTGTCCTCGCTTAACCTATTATACAGAGTATTCCTACAATATAATATCACCCTATATTATCTTACATACTACATCGGAATATAGCCTCAATGTAAACAACGTGTACAGGTCGCGTGCACGATGACTGACCGGTGACCCTGGAGGTACAACATTGAAGTACCTCACTTTTCTGGAAATCATTGAAACACAACTTCACTATTGCACAAACAATGCAGCGAGAGACGAAGAAATATGTTTTTCGGGTAAAAAAGAGCCGGCTGTGTAAATAGTGATCTCATGCACATATATAGTTTTTATCATAAAATTTGGTCATTTCTCATTAGAATTCCTGCCACTTCGGCAATAGAAGCTAATACTGCTAAATAGAGTGACGATCATATTTCGTCAGCATGTCAGACCAGTCCTCCCGTTTGATTACATGAATCCATCAATCTTCTTGCCTTCTTTTAGAAACCGCACTGGTATTCGCAATGTTACCAGGTGGCGCTCGGTTTTCAGCGTTCCATGTCAAAGCCACGTTAAAACTGGGGGAAAACAAACTCAATCCTTACACAATCCAATTAATACCATTAGCTTGTGTACTGTGTACTGATAATAGGGAAGTTTTTACATTTCTTGACATTAGTTGTCAATATTCGATCGAAAACGCCTATTGTAGATGTTCTTTTGGCAGATATTTTGCTCTATTTAGATGGAGAAGCTGACCAGTAGTGGAAGGAGAAGCAGTTCTCCGTGCTAATCATGTGATTTTGTGTGAGGCAGAAGACTTCAACAAAAGGCACATTTTTGCACTTTGTCTACAAACTTCGGCGATGAAATATTCCCCACATGAAGTAAAATTGAAGTTGGGGTCCAGAGGAACTCCTGTAGAACAATGGATTTGTATTTGTTCCTGCAAAGCAGGACAATCTGGGTATTGTTAGCTGTTCTTTTATATGTCAATTTATTTGCTCGTCATAATCAGTTTGAATTGTTTGAACTATCTCCAATTCTTCACCCGTTCACTGTTCACTAAACTGATAAAAATGTAATGATGTAAAAAATTTAACCAACTCAACCATCGTCACTACCAACAATGCCAACACTTTATGTCATTGACAAGTTTGACTACAGCTACAGCAAGCTGAATGCAATGTTATCTATGCACTTTATCCATAGACAACAGTGTTTGTTTTCCCCCAGTTTGAAGTATTATGTAATATCTAGATGTCGCTTATTTCTGGTAGAGGCATGTGCGTTGACGTGACAGAGCTGTCAGTATTTTTGAATATTTGAATTTGAAATTGCAAAAATGCTTATAATTTGTTCAGACACTTCTTGTTTCAATTTTTACGAGATCGAGACTAGAAGAGAAGTTTAAGCTTCCATTCATTTTCGAATGATGGATCGATTCTTCAGAAATTGATTCAATTTTGTGGACGTGAGATTGTAATTCATTTAATGCCAAAACTTGGCGAATATGCTCTGCCCATTTCGATGCCGAGGATTTTGAAGGGAATCTTCAAGCAGAATTACTAAATTACACACCAAAAAGGGAAGAAAACTCAAGGTAGGAATCCCATCAATAATATCGAATATAACAAAAGAAACACAATAAGTATGGAAGTTTGGGATTCCCAATATGACTGTTCTCAGGACAAACCGGTGGCAGATTTCTCATAGGGCACAGTAATCCTGTACTACTAAAAAACTAAAAGTACCAAAATATTAATCTATAAATCTATACTTTTGGCACCCCCAGTCTAGTTATGCTGGTGAAGGCACACGTGTTTACGCAAAACTTTCTTGGTGAGTAATATACCATTCCTTTTTCTCCGTGCATGAAGAAATCTTTTTGGGCACACGTTTTTTAGTGATATGTTTTTCTCCTTCCGAAAATGATTCTAAGCCCTCTAGTTCCTTATGTTGGTTGATCATTTGCAATTAATTGTTACATCTGATATTATATGTCCGTATTTATTCGTGGTTCGTGTCATTTATTTTTCATTTGAAGAGGTTATATATTTTGAAAAATAACTCCTATTTTGGTTGTGGCTTCTCAATATTTTTATCGAGTCTAGGTATGCCGAGTGGTGCTCTATGGTGTGGAATTTTCAGTAGGAAGTCAGTTGTTAAGTGGGTACCGTCAAACGGGGTTACTTGAGACACTTTTCAGACATTTTTACGCATGATTTTCACAAAAATCAAGATATGAATTTGCTTTTTTCACAAGAGCGTCTTATAGATTATTAGGTAGGGCCTACCGTTCTTGAGATATCAAAAAAAAAAAATTTCTGTCATAATTTATTTTATGGGTGACTCAATTTACCCTTAGAATGGGGTAACTTGAGACAGGCATTGAAAAAGGCGAACATTGCAAGTAATACTTTATCCAGGGTAAGTTGAGACAAAGTGAAGTTATCCTTTTATACATATTCTGAAAAATTTCTAAAAAAAAAAATTATCAATTGGGCTGAGAAAAGATAGTAAACAAGTTACATAACAAATTGACCTTCAATCTACCAATAAAAAAGAGAAAAATGAGGTTTTTATTTCCTTAGAGAAATAGTGAACATTAATAATGACTAAAAAACTAACAGCCTAAATTGTAGGTTTGCATCAGTATAATCCACGTATTTTCTAGCCCCAAGTTGTCTTCTATATTTACAAGGCATGTCTCATTTTACCCTGAAAAAGTCGAATTATTGATAAATACCCGTAGGTACAACTTC